TTACAAAGATCATATTAATTATGTATTTTTCTCAAAAGAGGCTCCTGACTTTTGTCACATTTATCTTTCCTTCTTCCCTTCCACCTTTCCTTCTTACTTCCCTCTTTCCCTTCTCCCTTCCCCTTCCCTTCCCCCTTCCCTTTCCTTTCACCTTTCCTTTTCCTCCTTTATTTTCCTTTTTCCTTTCCTCATTCCTTCCCTTTCTTTTCCTTTGATTTTCTTCTTTCCTTTCCTTCCCTTTCTTTTCCTTTTTCATTTCTTCTTTACTTCTCTTTCCTTTCTCTTTGCCTTCCTTTGCCCTTCACTTTCCTTTCCCCTTTCCCTGTCCCTTTTCCTTTCCTCCTCTTCCCTGACCCCTCTTCCGTCTTCCCCTTCCCCCTCTCCCCTCCTTTCTTTGCTGGTACTGGAGATTGAATTCAAGGCCTTGGTGCTGACCCAGAGGGAGGGAGAGAGAGGGGGAGAGAGAGAGAGAGAGAGAGGGCGAGAGAGCGCAGAGAGGGCACAGAGAGAGGGCACGAGGGTGAGAGCGCTAGAGCTTGAACTCAGGGCTTGAGCTGTGTTCCTGGCTTCTTTGTTCCAGGCTAGCCTGGAGCTGGCTTTGAACTGCCATCCTCAGATCTCAGCCTCCAGAGTAACTAGGATTACAGGCATTAGCTAGAAGCTCCTGGAAGTTTTTTTGCTTAAGATTGGCACTCCACCACTTGAAACTCAGATCCATTTGCAGCTTTAAAAAAATTATTATTATAAACGTGATGTACAGAGGGGGTACAGTTACATGTCAGGTAAAGAGTTCATTTCTTTTTGGACAGTGTCACTTCTCTCTTTCTCTCCCACCACATTTTGGTGATGGAAATGAGAATCTCAAAGACTTTCCTGCCAAAGCTGATTTTGAAATGAGATCCTGTTTTCAGCTTCCTTAGTAACTTATCATTATAGGCTTGAGCCACTAGTGCCTAACTTATGATAACATTTCTAACAACAGATGCCTAGTGTTACTTTTTTTTCCCCCCCAACACCAACCAGCCAATTATCCAACAGCAATTGGGTGTCTGAAGTTAATTCAGTTATGACACTACCTGTGGTTAGCACAGACTGCATACTTAGGTTAAGGGTTCCACATGAATCTCCCACTTGAGATGCCACATACAAATAGGGTTGCCAGGCTACCAAGACTTCTGCCTGGTTAACTGCAAGACTGTCCCTCAGATTTAATAATTTGCTAAAAGGGCCACAGAACTTGGGAAATAACTATGCTTAATATTACAAATTCATTAGAAAGCATACAGCTTAGAAATAGCCTTACAAGATGAGATGCATAATGCAAACTATGAGGATTGAGATGACACATGTTTTCCATGCCCTTTCTAAAACATTGATATATTCACAAACTGAGAAGCTCCATGAGCCTTGGTGTTGGAGGATTTAATTGAGTTGTAAGTACACGGGCATGATTGATTAAAGAATTTTAATTGGTGATTGAACTTGACTTCTCTCTATCATCCCCATAAATCTGGAGATAGTAACCTTATCGCTTGGTTTTTCTGTGAATAGCCCACCTCCTGAAACTATTGGGACCACACCTACCCATCATTGACCCATCTTACAAGCATATAAAAGTCAATTAAACATATTTATAAGATAGTTCTTTGTTGCTTTGTATGTCCCTCCCCTATGGTATAACCTCTGTTTTCATTGTGTTTGATGCTGGTATAATTTGTGGAGGGGAAGGGAAAAAACAAATTGTTTAAATAGGGATACAAGTGGACCCATTGCAACAATGAGATGTACAAGATGTTATGTCAAAAATGAACTTTACAACTTTGGCAGGAGGGGAGGGGGGATGGGAAGGGATCAGAAGGGGAAACAAAGGAGGAGGCAATAATGCTTGATAAGAAATGCACTCATTACCTTACCCATGTAATTGTAACTCCTTTCTACGGTATTTTCACACACAAAAAAAGTCAGTTAAATTCTAAACATTTTATAAGCTCAGTGCCTTGAAGTAGACACAAAGACCAAATATAGATAATTATTTATCTATTTATTTCTGACTGTACTGGGGTTCAAACTTAGCCTTTGCCCTTGCTAGCAGATGCTCTACCACTTGAACAACTCCTCCACTCCTAAATATTTGGTTTTATTATTGTACTTCAGTTATATTACTATATTGCCTCAAATTTTATAAGTGAATTTTGAATATTTTTGCATATTCTTGGATTTAAGCATATGTGACAGAAACAATTTTGTATTTGTATTATTGTCTTATGAATACTTGTATAAAACATGAGTTAAGGGCTGGGAAGGTGGCTCAGTGGTAGAGCACCACATAAGCAGAAAAAAAAAGCCAGAAATGGTGCTGTGGCTCAAGTGGTAGAGCGCTAGCTTTGAGCTGAAGAGCTTAGGGACAGCGCCCAGGCCCAGAGTTCAGGCCCATGACCGGACCCCCCCCCCCCAAAAAAAAACCCAAAAAAACCCCAAAAACCCATGAGTTAAAATGAACCACTTTTAAGAATTTTAACTTTTCTTATTTCACTGGATTTTTTTTTTTTTTGGTCATAGAGTTTGAACTTAGGGCCTGGGCACTGTCCCTGAGCTTTTCTGACCATTTTGAGCCACAGTTCTAGTTTTTCTGGTGGTTAATTGGAGATAAGAATCTCATGGACCTGCCTTCCTGGGCTGGCTTTGAACTGAGATTCTCAGGTCTCAGCCTCTTGAGTTGCTAGTATTACAGGCATGAGACATCAGCACCTTTTTACTTATTGTTAAGTTTTGTTAACCCCAAGTAAATAGTGAATTCACTAGGGGAAAATATAATTACTAGATGTGAATACTCTTTTGGAAGATGAGTAGGTTACCCTGGAGGTTTACTTCTTCCTTTTTGATATTTATAATACTTGAACAACTATTGGCTGGTGGTTTTGAGAGGGAGGTGATATTTTGCCTCTTTGGGGACTTCTGGGGACTGGGGGTTGATATTGGTATCAATGGCTATGTGCCCGGTAAACAAACTTATGCTTGTATTCTGTTTCTTACTTTAAAAAAAGTGTGCAGTGTTCCAGTGTATTTCTCTAGGATTTCTGTTCCTCTTTTTTCCCCCCACTGTTTTTGCTTAGTTCAGAGAGCGTATGCTCTTCACGTGATTTTTAAGAATTCTTTTAGTGCTGTTTAGTTTTATTTTTATTGTCAAGGTGATGTACAGAGGGGTTACAGTTACATAGGTGAGGTAATGAGTACATTTCTTTTGAACAGTGTCACCTTTTCCCTTGTTTTCTCACCATTTTTTCCCTCTCGAGTCCCCCAAGTTGTATAGTTCATTTTCAACATAGTGTCTAGTGAATATCACTGCTGAATTAATTCACCCTTTGACCCACTATTTCTGTGGGTCACACGAACTTACATACAAGGCAAAATCAACAGTGACAAAAGGGGAAAAACAAAATCACGAAAAGTAAAATAAAAAATCTCTTAAACACTTTTCCATTTCTTGGGGTTCATTTCTATAAACATCATTTTATGTGATCATTTGCAAATAGCTATTGATCCTTTGTGATCCTCTCCTAAGAATATTCTCGTTTGGTCTCACTGTGTGAATATTTAGAGTCCTATTTAATTTATCATGTCCAAGTATAATTTTTTTTATCATCCATTGTGTTTACTTGTAGATTTATAGACACAATTTCAATTATTACAAATGAGGGAAGCCATGTGACCTATGTTTCTTTGTGTCTGGCTTCACTTAATACAATTTTTAAAAGTCCATTTCCTTACAAATGAGGCAATATCATTCTCTCTAATGGAAGCACAGAATTCCATTATATATATATTTCTTGATCCATTTGTCCAATGAGGGGTATCTGGGTTGATTCCATATCTTGGCTGTGGTAAATAATGCTGCAATGTACTGGTAGCTTTAGTGTAGCCTAGTTTGTGGTCAATTGGATAAATGCCCATGAGTGGAATTGCTGGGTCATAAGGAAGCTCTATATTTAGTCTTTTGAGGAACTTTCATATTTCTCTCCAGAGTGGTTGAAGAAGTTTACATTCCTACCAACTGTGTAGTAGCGTTCCCTTTTGGCCACATACCTCAGCATCTCTTATTGTTAAGAGTTTTTGATAGTGGCCATTCTAACTGGGGCGAGGTGGAATCTCAATGTTGTTTTGTCCAGGGATGATGAACATCTCTTCATGTGTCTATTGGCCATTCTTATTTCTACTTCTGAGAACTCTCTAAATCTTTTAAGATATTTATTAATTGGGTTGTTGTTTCTTTGAGTATTTGTTTTTGGGGGGTTTAATTTTTTGATTTCTTAAGTATGTTTTAAATATGAGGCCCTTGTCTGATACATAGCTAGTGAAGATCTCTTATTCTGTGGGCTATTTATCTTTCTAGCTATGTCCTTTGCTATGCAGAAACTCTTCAGTTTGGTGCAATCCCATTTATCCAGTCTTTCTTTGATTTATTGTGATTCTGGATCTCTTTTTAGGAAGTTTCAACCTGTGCCTAGGAGTCCTAATTTTCTTCTATCCATTCCTGTAATATTTTCATGGCTTCTGGCCTTACATTGAGGTCTTTGATCCATTTGGAATCGATTCTGGTGCAGGGTGATACATAAGGATCTAACTTCAGTTTTCTGTCAATTCTGCCAGCAGCATTTGTTGAAGGGCTATCTTTCTTCCACCCTGTGTTTTAGCCTCCCTTATGAAATTTCATGGGGTTATAGGTCTATGGGTTCATTTCTGGGTCTTCTATTCCATTGGCCCTTAGGCCTATTCTTGTGCCATTTGCTGTGTAATTTTAAAAGTGTATAAATTAGCTCTAGTCCTAAGGATTAGACAGTAATGGATAGGTTTTAAAAGTTAATTGAAGTATTTCACTAAATTCTATATTTGGTTAACTAAATTTAGTAGTTGGATATTGAAAAAGTACTGTCTAACTTGAACACTTTCAATATAAAGTTTATTTAATGATTTCCTATATTGCTTTTCTTTCTTTTTGATAGGCTTTCAAGGATATGCTGTATTCAGCTCAAGACCAGGCACCTTCTGTGGAAGGTAAGATAAATTAATCTTCAGATTTAGTTACAGTAAGAAAAAAATTTTAAACTTCAAAATATAAAACATATGATCTTTTCCTATGAATATCTCTTTTTCCTTTGTTTTAGTGCCAGTCCTAGAGCTTGAACTCAGGGCCTGGTTGCTATACATGAGTTCTTTTGCTTGAAGCTAGCACTCTACCACTTGAGCCACAGCTCCACTTCCTACTTTTTTTAGTGCTTAATTGGAAATAAGAATCTCAAAGACTTTCCTGCCTTGGACGGCTTCAAACCATAATCCTTAGATCTTACCTTCCTGAGTAGCTAGGATTACAGATGTGAGCCACTGCTGCCAGGTGGTCTTTTTGCTTTTGATGATGTGATTATCCATTTGTTTGTCTAGCTCAAATTTACTCCATGATAGATCTTATGTGGTTTTTTTTTTTTTTTTTTATCATCTGTTAAGGCTAGGATATGAAGTGTTTGCCAGAGTACTCATATGTAAAATCTTGGTCTTCAGCTGGTAATGCTATTTTGGGAGGTGGTAGAAACTGTAGAAGGTGGAGCCTAGTTGGAGGTATAACTCACTGGGGCACCCTCTGGAAAGATATACCTTGTCTAGCTCCTTGTCTCTTTCCTTCCTCCTCCCTACTTCCCTCCCTCCTCTCTTTGCTTCCTGTTCACCATGAAGTAAACTGCTTTCCACTACTGCATGCTCCCAGCCATAGGCTGAAACCTCTAAAACTGTCAACCTAAATCTGATTAACACATCTTAGCACTGAATCATATATTGATTTCCTCACAGTTCTTTTGTGCTTCATTCTCCCAATACATTTTTACATTTATCTATCTATTTCCACCTATTCACTCATCCATCTAGACACCCTTTAGTGGATCCTAAGTCTACAGATAGTTAGGACAGGGCATCTTTCCCCTTTCTGTTTACTTACTGTCTTTAGAGTGGGGCTAGTAATTAAATGGAGAATGTTAGTGTGTGTATATGTAATCAGTGTGCTTATGTATATATATGCACAGTTTGGCAGTCATATAACAACTGATCTAAGGGTGTGGTTATTCCACTGCTCTTTTATCAGCTATTCTTTACAGGGTAAAGCTTTTATTAGTTTGGAGAGATGACTGTTAAGTTGTGTATGTTCTTGGGTCAGTAAGTAAGATCCAGTTTAGCAACTGTTCTTGACCGAATGTCCCTTTTGAGGCTGAGTATTTTTTGGAAATTTTGCATCAGCGAGAAAGTGGATTACACACATACACACACACACACACACAGTGGAATTTCATTTTATTTTATCAGGAAGAAGAGTATATCATTATTAGGGGAGTGGGAGGACCTGGAAAAAATCATGCTGAATGAATTATATCAAGCTCAGATAGACAAAGGTGCATGTTTTCTTTCATATGTGGAAATTAGATATAAATATAAGCATATTTGAAAATGCACACAAGGCCATAAGCATATACACTTGATCAAACTAACTAAAGGATGCTATGTATACTCAGGAGTGAGATTGGAACAATGATCAGTTTAGTAAAATGGATACCAGAAAGCTGAAACATGTTTTAACTGAGGGTAATGAGGATTAAGGAAAGGAGTAGACAAATGAAAAAAGGAATGAGGGTAAATGCAATTGACATAATAATGAATGTATATACATGAAAACTGAAGGAGGAAACTTGACAGATGTGGAGGGGATAGAGGAGGAATGATGGAAAGGGTGACTGATCATGATGCATTGTGTATATAAATGGACATGTTAAATTGAAATGTTTTTGTATACTATTTGAAGAAAACATAAAATTCTTCAGTTTTTTCAGGAGTAATGGATGTAAAAGAATGTATGAATATTCTTACTCTGTGTCTCTGAATAATATCTGTATGTGATACTACATTAGTGTTCTCTGAAGTCATTCCAGTAACAAGCTATTATAGGCTTATTTCTATGACATAAAACAGATGTTGAAGTAGTTTAATAAAACTGTAGATTTTAGATTCAAATCCCATTTTTTAATAACATGGAAATACCCATTATTTATCTAAAACATTCTGAATTGAAAATGCTGTTTCTCTGAAACATGTCAAAATTTTACCTCTTACATTTTGAACCAGGGCATCAGTAGTTAGTCCATTATTAATTTTATGTAAGTCACTGAAGTTTGGATTATGATGTATTTAATTCTCTAATTTAACTCAAAATGCAGGGCTACTTTGAAAAGTTTTTTGCCTAGTTTGTAATAAACATACTCTGAGATATGTTTAAAAACTATGATATTTATTCTCCATCTTGTTGGAGTATGATCCTACTAATTGTTTCAGTGAATATTAGATAAAATAGATTTATGAGAAATAGTGTTCAAATTACAAATATGTATGTCATTTCTTTGAACCCTGACACAGAAGTCATATTTTTAATGTAGGGTGATCATATAGGAGGATGTGCCCCTTTCACAATGCTCTGTGCCTATTAGTTCTTTTTTTTGTATTGCCTTCCAAACAACCTATAAAGGCATGAACTCAGCAACTCAGGAGGTGGAAAGTGGGAAATTCATAGATTGAGACAAAAAGTTCGAGCCCTATCTTAGCAAATAAGTACAATATAATAGTTCATGTCTTTAATCCCAGCTTTGCAGGATCCCAGCCAGTAGGATAATGATGGTCCCAGGCTGACCCAAGCAAAAAGACAAGACTATCTGAAAATAAAACAGAAGAGGCTAGGGATAGAGTATAAGTGATAGAGCATCCGCATGGCAAGTGCTTAGCCCTGAACTCAGATCACAGTATCGCCAAAAAAAAAACCCCATGTATGTTTTATTTTCTTTTAAAAAAAAGTTTTATTGTAAAAATGCTATACAGAGGGGTTACAGTTACATGAGTAAGGCAGAGTACATTTCCTGTGGAGCATCGTTACACCCTCCCTTGCTGTTCTCCCACTATCCCCTTCCCCCTTCACCCCCCCCCCCCAAAGTCATTTCCAATTTCCAATATACTGTCTTGTGGGTATCATTGCTGCAATGGGTCATTCTTTGTCCTTGTTGTATGTTTTATTTTCCACATGAGTTTTTCTCTTTCAAAGCACTGGATAATTGAAGCTATTGGGAACTAATTGTCTTGACTAATACTAAGACTAATAGAAATTACTAAGGAGACTTTAATTGTTCTTTCACTTGCATTGAGGTTTTATACTTTGCCGTATTTGGAAAAAAATTACTGATAATCATTTCTTTTTTTTTTGTCAGTTATGGGCTTGAACTCTGGTGCTGGGTGCTGTCCCTGAGCTCTTCAGCTCAAGGCCACTTTTAGTTTTATGGTAGTTAATTGGAGATAGAAGTCTCACAGACTGGCTTTGAACACCATCCTCATATATTAGCCTCCTGAGTAGCTTGGATTACAGGCATGAGCCATCGGTGCCCTGCTGATAATCTGTATTATATCCTTGCTATTAGTATTTTTAGGCTTTTGTTAGTGCTTAGAAAATATTATACCAGAAGATTTACCAGTAAAGTCTCAAGACTTTAAGCTTTTTTTTTTTGCCAGTCATGGGGCCTGAACTCTGTGCCTGGGCACTGTCCCTCAGCTCTTCAGCTAGTGCTCTACCACCAGAGCCACAATGCTACTTCTGGCCTTTTCTGCTTATGTGGTGCTGAGGAATCAAACCCAGGGCCTCATGAATGCAAGGCAAGCACTCTACCACTGAGTCACATTCCCAGCCCAAGCTTTAACATTTTTAAAAGGAAAAATATGTGGTAGGTCTGGATTTTTTTTTTTTTTCCTTGAGGATGGTGCTGCCATTGGGGCTTGATTTAGGACCTCCCACTCTTGCTTAATGTTTTTGCTCCAGGCTGGTACTCTACTACTTGAGTCACACTTTGACTTCTGGAATTTTGCTGGTTATTTGGAGAGAAGAGTGAGGATTTGTCTGCTTGGGCTGGCTTTTAACTCAGTCCTCAGATCTCTGCTTCCTGAGTAGGTGGTATTATAGGTGTGAACTACAGGCTCCTGGCTTGGATTATTTTTATATTAGCTTTTTCTCTTAATTTTATACCTAAGATTTTTTTGTGTATGTGCGAGTCCTAGGGGTTGGAGACTAGGCTCCAGTGCTCAAGGCTTAATGCTCTACCACTTGTGCTACAGCTTCACCTCTTTTTGGTAGTTAATTGGAGATAAGAATCTCACAGACTTTCCTGCCCTGGCTGGCTTTGAACCATGGTCCTTAGGTCTAGTCTTCGTGAGTGGCTAGGATTTCAAGCATGAGCCTTTAGTGCCCAGCTATACCTTAAGTTTTTATGGACTTAAAACTTCATGTCCCAGACAGCTGGGATTTTGTTTTTGTTTTTGTTTTCCATCTTAAATTAGTGGTTCTCAGTGGGCTCATTTTATTAAAAAAAAAAAATCCTGGTGCTTGGGCCCCATTTTAGATCAATTGAAGTAGGATTGAGGAGTAGGACACAGACATCAGTATAAAGACTGATATTAGTGCTAATTTCTTTTAAACAAGCATCTCCTGGATGATTCTAAATTTTTTATATTATTATTAGACACTGTATTTTATTAGTATAATGGAATTTTCTCCTATTTACTGTCCAGACAGTGTTTAATTTTACATGTGTAAGCAATAAGCTATACGAACTTATGTAATCTTAAGAGACTAGACATTGGAGTGCATCTATCATTTCTAGCAACATAGGGAAAGCACAAGTAGGATTACTGCAGCCCAGACTAGCCTGAGTATGAAGTGAGACACTGCCTCAAAAATAACTAAGAAAAAGGGACTGGAGGCCTCGTTTTGTTTTAGAGGACCTGAGTGCAGTCTCCAGTACCATCAGAAACAAAAAGAGTGAAATGGTTTGTTTTTTGAAGTGTATTAGATAAAATGCCACAAAAGCCAATGGCAGCAGCTCATACTTAATAATCCTAGCTACTTGGGAAGCAGAAGCTGGTAGAATAATAGAGGCTAGCTGGGGGAAAAAGTTTCAAGAATTCATCTCAACCAGTAGCTGGCTACA